ACGCCAAAGAAGAAGCGCATGGGCATTTACAGCACGCTCAGCGGGCAGAACAGTCAAAGAAGCCAACGGCGCCTTCTCCATGACAACCAGCAGCATGACGATGGAGGTGATGGCAGTGACACAAGCGCTTGCCTGGCTTGAAACACAAAAATACACCCGCGTGTGTATACTCAGTGATTCAATGAGTATGATCCGGAGGGTTCAGGCAGGTTCAGTGCGAAGACAATGGCTTGAATCATTACAGAAGTCCACTGTGCGTGGAGTCACCTTTATTTTTTGTTCCGGGACACGCAGGCGTCGATGGAAATGAAAGAGCTGACAGGTTGGCTGGATCCGCTATCACTACCGACGGTCAGCCTATGGATCATGCTGATATTATCAATGCCCTCAGAGAAATGGGAAGGATAGACGACTTTGGTGGCAGTGAATCCACATCACTCGCCAGAATGGCAGACTTGGGAATTAAGATCGGCACAGCAAAAAACGAGACGCACACCAGCTACGCCAGAAGACTTGTTAATCAACATAGAACTGGTACTATTAGCCATCGGACGTTGGGGTTCATACTGAGGGGAGGATCTGAGCACCTATGGACATGTCCGGAGTGCAATGAGGATAACCTAACTAACTAACTAACTAACTAACTAACTAACTAACTAACTAACTAACTAACTAACTAACTAACTAACTAACTAACTAACTAACTAACTAACTAACTAACTAACTAACTAACTAACTAACTAAGAAGGATTTTGTTTTTCAAACAACAATGACCCAAGTACAAATCAGTAAAACACGACAGGAAGCAGCTATTGAAATTGTGGACGACGACATATACAAAGCAGAATCTTTAAAAGAAGTCATCTCATAATGCAGTTGAGATCCTTGGCTATGGAGAAATTCCCTTGTATGCTAAATGGTGTCCCAAATGCCTTCTTTGCATACGTTGAATAAGAATACAGCACACAACCGGAAACAAAAAATTCAGAAAGAATGACGAAACGATGACCGAATAGGTGTTTATAATTTGGTATTGCAGTTATGTGCAATTTAATATGATATGTAATTTAATATGATACTGCATTCTCTAACATAGATGCCCAAGGACGTTTATAGTATCAGTGTATGACTCATACAGTATGTTGACCATGTCGAATTGTTTATTACAGTCCCTTCGATGGTCAACGTAAAGGAGTTCAGCTGTGTGTGTGTATTGATATAAATAAATACAATAAAATAATTATATATATATATATATATATATATATATATATATATATATATATATATATATATATATATATATATGCAATCAAAAGATATGGGCTGTCTAGTCTATAGGGGGAACACCTGGAAGGGAATATGGATAAAAGAGAAAGTGATTACGAAGAGCTGTCTGAAAAGAAGCAGGTTAAATAGATGCTATGGCAAAAGCGGTCCTGAAGTCTATGCTCTAATTGTCAAGAATGTTTCTTTGTGCAACTCACACTCGCCATCGCTATGAGTTGTGATTACCATATTTCCCTATAGAGGAAAATAACACTGTCGTCTGAAAGGAGAGAAAATTGCCAAACAAAAAAATGCACATGCAAAGCGGTAAGTGCCTGCAGGATTATTTCTGAAGACTTCGGTTCTGGAATCGATGCAGTCTCATAAAGCTGGGTACAAGACAATATGGATGCTTTTTTTTTTAACTATCTGGGCATGAAAGGAGACGAGGAATGGAACTGTCCACCCAACATCATATGTTGTTGTCTACAATATGTAAACGTATTGACGCTTCATATCGACTATCGCATCTGCTAGGTGACTACACTTTTACTTGTTGTATGAATATGCGTATGTGTGTGTGTGTGTCATCATCATCATCCCCCGTGTGCCGTTAGATGTCACATAGGGCTCGCATTTGATTCCGCCACTGCGCTCTATTCCACGCGACTCCCTCACATTCTCACATGGAGTTCGACCCAGTGTTCTTAGCTTCTCGTAATATTGTTCTTCCCAATGTTTCCCTTTAAAGCCAAAATTATCTCAGACTGCTCCTTTCCTATTTTAGCGCTTGTTTCGTAATTCTTTGCTCATTGCGTCTCAGAGTGTACCCAATATATTTCCACCTTCTTTGCTTACTGTTTCTCAAAGTGTACCCAATATATCTCCACCTTCTTTGCTCATTGCGTCTCAGAGTGTACCCAATATCTCCACCTTCTTTGCTCATTGCGTCTCAGAGTGTACCCAATATCTCAACCTTCTTTGCTCATTGCGTCTCAAAGTGTACCCAAAATATCTCCACCTTCTTTGCTCATTGCGTCTCAGATTACCCAATATATCTCCACCTTCTTTGCTCATTGCGTCTCAGTTTACCCAATATATCTCCACCTTCTTTGCTCATTGCGTCTCAGAGTGTACCCAATATATCTCCACCTTCTTTGCTCATTGCGTCTCAGTTTATCCAATATATCTCCACCTTCTTTGCTCATTGCGTCTCAGTTTATCCAATATATCTCAACCTTCTTTGCTCATTGCGTCTCAAAGTGTACCCAATATATCTCCACCTTCTTTGCTCATTGCGTCTCAGTTTATCCAATATATCTCCACCTTCTTTGCTCATTGCGTCTCAGTTTACCCAATATATATCCACCTTCTTTGCTCATTGCGTCTCAGTTTACCCAATATATATCCACCTTCTTTGCTCATTGCGTCTCAGATTGTACCCAATATATCTCCACCTTCTTTGCTCATTGCGTCTCAGTTTATCCAATATATCTCCACCTTCTTTGCTCATTGCGTCTCAGTTTACCCAATATATATCCACCTTCTTTGCTCATTGCGTCTCAGTTTACCCAATACATCTCCACCTTTTTTGCTCATTGCGTCTCAGATTGTACCCAATATATCTCCACCTTCTTTGCTCATTGCGTCTCAGATTGTACCCAATATATCTCCACCTTCTTTGCTCATTGCGTCTCAGTGTATATCCAATATATATCCACCTTCTTCGTTCATTGCGTCTCAGATTGTACCCAATATATCTCCACCTTCTTCGTTCATTGCGTCTCAGAGTGTACCCAGTATATCTCCACCTTCTTTGTCTTATTGTAGTCGACTGGCGAGGGCGATCATGCCTCTCCACAATCTACGATCTCCTGCAGCATGTATCAGTTCTTATGCTGACACACCTTTATGCCATGCAACAAGACTGTCAAGAATCTTCTCCCTTTGTCTTCCTCTATCCATGCTCTTACAGATCTTTTAAGTGGTCACAACATGTTCCATTTTTCCTCTTCTCATAACGTGGTCGAAAAAAGATGACTGTCTCCTTCTGGTGTCTGTGATAAGTTATCTTTGGGCTCCTGCCTTTTTCAAAACCTCTTGGTTGCTCTTTTTGGCTGTTCGGGGTATTTTAAGCATTTTTCTGTAAAACCACATTTCTGAGGTCAAGAAATTGGCCTGCCTACCGGTAGTCAAGGATTCACTGCCATATTTTAAAACTGGATTCATGTAGCAAGCAAGACTTCTTTTTTAAAACTCGCAATGACGAAGATATATTGCATAAGATGTTCTTCATTCTTCATTGTAGTCGATACAGGTATTTATCCAGACATTTCACTGATATCCTTACTTTGTGTGTGTGTGCGTGTGTGTGTGTGTATGTGTGTATGTAGACACGCACACATTTTAACATTTAGTTATCAGTTATCATGAAGCTGCGCCTACAACAAACTTGAGACATATGTTATCTGTCTTACTATACAACTTTATGATAGTCACGATTCAGGTAAATTTATTTTGCCTACGTGCTTCTCACAGGTAATACACATCGTTATAGCCACTCCGTGACTCCGGTATTGAGTTACAACTAAACACAGTTTCTTGAATACAAAATATTAGAGCTTTGAAAGTAAGAAAGAACAAAACAAAAAACTGTTTACGATTGTTAGGAAGCTAATTTACATTGACTCAGATGCATGCATGGTAAATTAAACATAATAATTTAGCCGAGTCGATTGCATGCATAGTTTATCACGAGACTGGTGAATCGTGAAGATCACAGACTAGCAAACACAGTCAAGAGTAAATAGTGATTAATGTGTGCCTGTAGGCATGTCCATGCGTTTACGTGCACATGTATGTCTGTCTGTCTGTCTGTCTGTCTGTCTGTCTGTCTGTCTGTCTGTCTGTCTGTCTGTCTGTCTGTCTGTCTGTCTGTCTGTCTGTCTGTCTGTCTGTCTGTCTGTCTGTCTGTCTGTCTGTCTGTCTGTCTGTCTGTCTGTCTGTCTGTCTGTCTGTCTGTCTGTCTGTCTGTCTGTCTGTCTGTCTGTCTGTCTGTCTGTCTGTCTGTCTGTCTGTCTGTCTGTCTGTATGTCTATCTTTCTGTCTGTCTGTCTGTCTGTCTGTCGGTCGGTCGGTCGGTCGGTCGGTCGGTCGGTCTGTGTATATATCTTAATATATGTGTGTATGTATGAATAGGCCTTCTTTAAGACTACCTGAGCTTAGCACCTAGTTTCCCTAGGCTCAGTTTACTACATCGTCAATCAACAGACTGTAACTGAAGATCCATCCATGCAATAATGTCTTCTATACACCTGTATCTACCGTACCTACCTTCACCTGTGCTGTTTAGATTTTTAGGGCCGATAACTTAAGTGGGTAGTGCGAACTAAACAAGATAAGAATAGAGAGTCTATTGGTACAGGCATCTAATCCATACGAGATACTCCATACTTACCTTCAGCCCCTCGGCTGAGACCCAGCAATCTTTGGGAAATTCCTGAACGAGGGGCACCAGGAATTGAAGACATCCATTCCAATGTCCCAGAAGCAACATGAGACATATCAGGTTGAAGATCCTCATGAACTTTCCTGCTATGGCTAGAAACTGTGAGAAACAAGGAAGCACGAAATCACAGCAAAGCGGTTAGTCAGAAAAAAGTCAAGATAGACACAGCCAGACTAAACAAATGCACATAATGCAGACACGTCTACTTGCAGGCTTTTCTCACCTTGAGTTCTTCTATGGACACCCAGCAGTCTTTTGGGTAATCCTGGATCATGGGCACCAAAAACTGAAGACATCCATTCCAGTGGCCCAGGAGAAACATGAGGCATATGAGGTTGAAGAAGCGCATTACCTTGCCGGCGAACGATAGGAACTGGGGGATACAGCACACCAAAGGCTAACAATACCATTCATTTGACATGAGCTAAATCCTCTTGGGTGGAGGCACTCAGGCATCCATACATTTATCTCTATGAGTATGGGCTTTTTCTTAACCTAAGAGCTGCTTTAATTAGGGATTATGGCTGCTTTACAAGAGCTAATGTCCGATGTAGGGCGCTGGACTTACATACGTTGAGGCCCCCACCCACTCATAAATTAGGGGCCTCAGCGCGATCTTTGCCTCAGATGTGTATTTAGGCTAAGCTGCTCTCCCTTACAACATATATATCTTTTTTTAAAGTTTGATTATACAATAGTACTAGTTCATATGTAATATTACATCTATTTGCCATTCACAACAGTAATAATATTATTAAGCTTTTTAACAAGGTCTAGACCATTTCAGACCCCTCACCCCATTCTCTTGTCAGAAAATGTGTGATATTTTCTATGCTCGGTACCACTGTTTAAGTGTATCAGCCTTTTTACACGTCCTTGGAGGTAGATATCTGATAGTTACATTATAATCGACAAGACATTATACAAAGTCTTAATGAGCTCTTATTCATATCCGGTGAATTAACAAAATTATGACAGGATTTACTAATTAACAAGTAACATAATTACTAATACGGTTTACTTTTTTTTTTCTTCTTTGAGTCCATGCCGTGTGACGTTGGTAGTCACGTCTAACCAACATCTTCTGTCTCGTGTACTTTCAATCAACTCTGACACAGATGATCTTCCATGCAACGATGTCAAACTGCCTCTCCTTCCCTCCAACTTTCCCACCCTCACGATATACTCCAGTTCTCTCCTTTTTGTCATATGACCAAAGAATGTGGATTGTCTCTTTCTGATGTGGGCAATGAGTTCTCTTCCTGAGTCAGTTTCTTCCAAGATGTCTTCATTACTCTTTTTAATCTGTCCAGGGTATTCCCATTATCCGTCTATAAAATAGGTTTTCACCAATTTACTAACTGTCTATGATTAACATCCCTGTATCAATATAGGATTTGTATAGCTTTTAAGAATTCTCTATCTAGTCTCAATTGACAAACAAAGATTGCATGAAATAATCTTCATTTGGTAAACACATTGATTTACTTGTGCCTGCGCTAAATAGAGCGAAATAAAAGGTATAATACAATGACCAATCTTGACTTTTAGAGAGTGGGAAAATATAACAACAAATTCCAAGAGTTCAAGAGGTGAGGAAAAGATATTGACTTTGGAATGTACACACATTCGGAAATCCTGATGACAAGACAAATGACTTGGCCCTAGGACACTCAAAGGAATAAAGACAAACGACACAAACACACGCGCATATACGCTTATACAGAAGTAAAAGCAAAAAGACGACGCAGTTACAATTTTCGCTAGAACCCAGAGTGAGAAATACGCAAGAGAAAAAAAGATAAAAACACTTGGCATGCACACGTTATGGGAGTAAAAGAAAAAGAAAACTCTGTTTCTTAACTTGAAAGGAAGAATTAAAGTCTCAAAATGAAGATGGCAACGATGTAGAAAATTTACAATGAAAGAAAATATAACAAGGAGCTCTGATTTGACAATTCCCAACGTGGAGTGCAGTTCAGATGTGAAATCAATCTTCAGAATCAAAAATCAAACATTAATGAACAGAAAATTCCTTCGTCTACATATCTCTGGACAGTATTGTCTTCTTATTCTTATAATCCATGCATTGTTGAGTTGGTAGTCGTATCTATCCAGAACCTTTCGTTTCTTGTACTTTCAGTCAGTTCTCACGTGATTATCTTTCATGCCATGATGTCAAAATGTTCAGCACAACATCTTCTCTCTCGGTCTCCCTCTTCCTCCCTCCCCCCCACCCCCCCCCACCCTTTTCTTCTCAACATTCCCACCGGTAAGATATACTCCAGTTTTATCCTTTTCATGAAATGACCAAAGAATGCAGATTTTTTCCTTCTCATGTGGGCAATTTTTTTTTTCTTTAAGGCACCACCAATACTCTTTTTTTTTTTTTTTTTTAGATTTCAGATTATTCTCATCATTCTTCAACAAATCCACAATTCGGCAGCTTCCAAACAATTTTTCATTAATCTTTCAACTGTCCATGATTCTCTTCCGTACGTCAGGATGGATTTATACAGTTCTTGAGAATTATATTTCTCGTCCTAATTGACAAGGAAAGATTACATGGAATATAACTTATTATGAAGGGCAAACTGTTTACACTAACACAGTCCACAACAGTTGATAACAGCACTCTAACATATCCTAACAACGTGCATCCCTACTTACCTCCTCCCACTGCTGAAGTATCTGGCACACTCTAACATATCCTGACAATGTGCTTCCCTACTTACCTCCTCCCACTGCTGAAGTATCTGACACACTCTTAACATATCCTTACAATGTGCATCCCTACTTACCTCCTCCCACTGCTGAACGTATCTGACCAACCGTGATAGACGCAGAAGTCTTAGCAGGCTGAGTAGTTTAGCCAGTCGCAACATCCGGAGGGCTCGACCTGCAAGACGTAACAGAGACCCACACCTTAGTAACAGGCGTAGAGCAGACACAGTGTTCAAAATAAGGTTTTGCTTGAGGAGATGACTACAGTAACAAAAACATGCAAAACAAAAGAAGTTCTGATAAATCTACACCAGGGGGCAGCAGCAGCACATGATATAGCCCAATATAAAGAAGCAAAAAATAAATAAATAAATACAAGAAAAGAAATGTACCATAATACAGTGTAAAGTAAATAACGTAAACTAAACATCAAAGTAAAATTTGAAAAACAAAACAAACTAATGTTAAATTAGCTGCGTATTCTTTACAGTACGTTAAATTCCTCATTGGCAGGTTATTTTAAACCCATCAGGGGTCCTTATATAACATTACGGTAGAATAGAGCTTTTCGGGATTTGTAAAAGTAGGATTCTCATCCACGAAGTGGTAATCCTGAGGACTGCAATCCTGGAAGGGGAAAATTACAAAAAGAACGTTGCAGGACCGAACCACAGCATTGTTTTAGACGTTTGTGGTTTCCTGAATTATTGGCTCTAGATGCCACTGTTGAAACAAAAGCAAAGCCAACTGCTTGCAAATAGCCTTCCACTGGGATCGAACCAGACACCCCGAAATTACGAAGCACGTTCGTAATGCCTAAGCCACAGATGCCGACGACAATGAAATAGTGTAAATCAAAGTGAAGGAAAGTGTTTACAAAAGTAAAGGACAATGGTTGAGGCTGCCCTATAAGCGACTGTTGACCAATGCATGATATGCATAGATATTGTCCGCGTCTATGGCTTAGGCGTTGCCAGCGAGCTTCGTAAAGTCCCAGCTGCGGAATGTTTGTCTTGCGATGGTTTCGACAGTGGTACCGAGAGCTGACAGTACAGGTAGCAATGGCAAACTACTTAACGTAAAATTTGCCTAGAAAAATAAACAACAGTAAAAAATTACTAGGGTTGGTTCTGTAATGTCCTGTAAAGGATACGCAACTAACTAACATAGATATAAGTTTTTTTAATGTTCACATTCATCACCAAAGAAAGACTTTCAGGCGTGCCAAGAAGAGAACAACGTTCTGTAATGGATATGACTGAGTCATCATCAGATTCAATTTTTTACAATTAAATAGCGTGGGGAAGAACAATTTGCGATCCATTGCTTGATGGATGGTTAGTGCGTATCCTTTACAGGACGTTGCAGAACCATCCCTAACAGCCCCTAGCTGTTGTGTGGTTTCTCTAGGCAAATTTACGTCCAGTAGTTTGCCATTGCTCACTGGACGGTCGGCTTTCTTGATACCACTGTCGAAACCAACGCAAGGCGCGTGGCCTGCAGCTGGGATCGAACCCGGCATTTGGAAGCATTCGCATCGACTTAGCCACGAGCCGACGCTTGATGGATAGCACTGGCTTTTTGTATTCCTTGTAGTAGTAGTAGGTTGTTAATACCATCAGTACTTCTGCTAGGGTGGCCGCTTCATTCACACCATATATCACCCCCCCCCACCCCCAATCCCAGTTGTTAGGTATAACTACAGGTCAATATGAGCTTATAGAAGTAAAAAAAAAAAAAAAGATGAAGAGATGCCTGCACACTCTAGACTATTGAATGCAATGAGCAAGCAAAGTCCAAACCCGCCTTCTCCCAATGATGACAATGCCTCCTCCAAACACCAAGCTCCTGATGTGTCTGTATCTTCAGTTGACTATAGTGTTTGGTGCCTCATCTGTTCCTAATTCGTGTCTTTAATTTCATGAATGTAATCTTCTTATGCTTCTTCTTCTTAATCTCCGACTGGAAAGTTATGGTTGTTCGTCCATGAGTGGACTTTGGTCTTGTACCACAATTTGAGTTGTGCGTGACCGGTAATTGTACACAGTTGGCTTATCTGTTTTCGGGACTGCTACTCCTCTCCTCTCAGTCTCAGAAAAAAATCTAAAATCGACTGTCTGCTTCTCAAAGTGTGGGCGATGTTTGGTTTCTTTTTTAATTTGGATCCTTTTCATTACGTAAAAGGCCCTCATGGGCACCCCGTGTTTCGTTTCCACCAAGTGTATATAAAGAACTGTTTTTCGGTTCCAGAATCTTTTAGATACTTTGGCCTCGGCCAGGATTTTATAGGTGAGAGATGAATTGTGGCAAAAAAATCCAACATGTTTTTCTGTGTCAGAAACTATTTGACACTTGTCCGTACCAGTTCCTATGTTTGCTGGCCCTAGCCATTGAAACTGGCTCACGTGCGAAACTAAGTGACAGTCGCATATTTGGAGTATGTGGCTGTGACAAGGCTGAAAAACTGTCACTGACTGCTCAATAACAAAGCAATTTTCTTCAATTTTAAACATACTGAGCGTCCTTGGCCAACATCTGCGCTTGGTGGCCTTTGTCAGAGCGTGGAATCTGCGTTCACTAGGGTAGGGGATCAAATACAGCAGTATTTCAGTTGCAGTCCCTGTGGAATATTAGAGCTGCAGTTTCAATTTCAACTGCATTTAGGTCAATTTAATTTGTACGAATAGAATCATTCCAGCTCTGCTACACACGTCTTTACTTACATTCCAGCTCTGCTACACACGTCTTTACTTACATTCCAGCTCTGCTACACACGTCATTACTTACATTCCAGCTCTGCTACACACGTCTTTACTTACATAATCAATATAAATGTATAATCATAATACCATACACATGCAAGTGATATAAAACACTCAACTACAACTAGAGGCCACTCATGCAATGTTACTAAGTCTGCAGCTGTGCTGTCACAAGTAAAGGCTGTAACTATGACAGGCTGTCTTAACTCTTTCTGTACTTGCTATACAATATCTTTGAAAGTTAGAAGCCGATCGAGAGGTAGGGGGCGGTGAAACCGGGGGTTTAGGTAAATATTTGTTGTTTAGAGTAAAGGGTTGGCGGAGTGCCTCGTAAATGTTCTAGAGTTGCTAAGCTTTCCTTCACCATGGAGTATTTTACACATAGTGTTACTTCAAATATATTACTATAGTTACTTGCCACTGGCACATTATTTTTATTACCGACTTAAACAAGACGTAGGTCCTCTTAGTCTTCATTCCTGAGAAAATTTGTAAGAGGGTGGAGGTCTGGTAGGCTGAGCTTCCCTAGTATTGTCTTTATGGCGATTCCTGTGTAGAGTATTAACCATCTGCAACCAAATTTGGAAATCAACAATGATAGAAATGATAGGCCTAGCAGCCAGGATAAAGGAAAACATTTCTAGAAAGTTTTAAGGATTGGCTGTAAATATTGCCTCGAAAACTGAATATTTTGGCCATATCGAGCGTTAAAGCGGATTGAAAAAAAAATAGCAATAGGCAAGGTTCCAGGAAAGAGGGGAACTGCCGACCAGCTTGATGACGGGCAGAACATTTAAATCACATTTCGGGTTCCAAGTCAAGTTTCAAGTCACCAAAATACTTTCAATTACAGTCCTCGGTCAAGCCACTTTCTGTATCAGCTCGTGTGCAAGTCGTGCAAATGTATTTAAATTTACTAGAATAACGATAAAGTTACAATTTAAAAAAAAAATAGAATGAAGGACCCATTTGCCACACCTTTCAGGCGTATTGGGTATGTAAGGTTAGATCTGTATCATATAGACTAAAGGGCACTTTGTGGGTGATGGGGTCAGGATCAAACCCACCGCCTTTACTATCTAGGACTGTGCCTGGTATCCACTCAAGGCTGGGTCGACCTGGGAGCTATAGTCATTAAAAACAAAATCTATCTTTTGTCAGGAACCGAACCCACGACCTTCCGATCCACAGCTGAGCGTCTAGCCGGTAGAGCACGGCGGCTCCCAGAATTTAAAAAATCAATCAAAAACAGTGAAAATACAAAACCGGAAATTGCAGGACAAAAATCACTATGAAATATTCTAGAAAGCGGAAGAAGTCGAGCGAGAAAACTTGATAAATAGAAACAAAATTGATTCTGTCCTGTTTTATGTGAAGACGTTTTTAAATTGTGACGTTCGTCAGCAAACTAGCAAACTTACCTCACAGTGGCCGGCCACGAAACTCCGGTAGCACCACGTCGACGAAGCTACAAATCGAAAGTCTAGTCTCGAGTCATTCTACACGCTCTCTCCCCGTTTTGGGGGGGGGGGGGGGGGGGGGATTCAGTCACAAGTCGTTAAGAATGTGACTTAAGTCAAACTCGAGTTTAAGTGCGTGACTTGAGTCTCGACCTCTGATGTCAGGAAATGTCATGAAAAGTAAAGGCAGCCTGACAACATCAACCATCTAGTTCCGGTGGGTTTATAATGCTATTGGCCTATCTCTTGATTTCCGATGCGTTAAAAGCGTGAACAAGCTTCTTTTATTTACATCCAGGCAGTTAAACGTTAATTGCGTATCCTTTACAGGACGTTGCAGAACCAGCCTCAACATTTTTTTAGTTGTGGTTTTTCTAAGCAAATTGTTAAGTTCATTAGTTTGCCAATGCTCACTGAACGGTCAGTTCTCTGTGCCACCGTCAAAACCAAAGCAAGGCAAGTCGTCAGCAGCTGGGATCGAATCCGGCACTTCGGCATTACGAAGCGCGTTCTCAACGCCTAACCCACAGACGCCGACCACGCGGCAGTAGTATCAGATAAAGAAATAACATGTTTAGACATAACTGGTCCACAGGCATAAAGAGTTAAAACTAAATAAGGTAAATTAAATATATAGATTCTATAAGTGATTATACTGAATCTGGTTTCCTTACGTCTGTAAAATGTACGTCTTGAACATAAGTCGGACGGATACAATAATCTGTCGTAAGTATTTATAAATTCTCCAGTTACTAATTATATTACTAAGCCTGACGTGTTTGCTATTTATCCATATAAAAACATATTTATATTTTATATTTTGTAGTTTCTTTGTTTTTACCCTAGACACGTTAAGCCGAATAATCTCTGCAGTAACAAAACAGAAGCTAAAGACGGGTCAAGAGATGGGTTTAACAAAGCTTTGCGGGATGCAAACAATTACAACATATGGC